ATCTCATTCTATATTATGTTTGATTTGTTAATTTATTTTGTAACTATTCTGTGATCTTTATTATGTATCATAATTCAAAGATATTTGCAACCATTTGAAAGATTCATTTCTGCTTCGATTTTATCTCGAACGAGATAGAGTCGAATCAAATTCGCAAATTCTTTGATGCATTTGATACTTAGTTTTAAGTATTTCAGGATTAGCACTGCGCACTATCGCGATTTCGTCTTACAGCTGGAATTATTTGATATAATTAAATATAACATATTAATAAAATGAAAGTATTGCAAGAAAATGCATTACATTTATTGCACTATTTATTTCAATTCGATTTTATTACTCGACGTTAAAAGTGCGAAGTGTTATTAGGTCATCGAGGGAAATAATTATCTGCTTGGACATTCGATTAAATGTACCCGTGTATGATCAATGAACTCTAAGTTCAATGATGGTCCACGAGCTAGAAAAGTGAACGCGAAATGTAAATTAATATTTGAATAATTGAGAATTAGAATCATAACAAAATACAAGTTCATTTGCAAAAATAGTATGAAAGATCTTATCTTGCTCGCACGTAGAAAATGTCCAAATGCAGTTTTCATGGAATGAAGAAAGAAGAGGCTTAATGCCGAAGAGGCCCCCACTTAATTGTGGCTCAAGAGGGCAACTACAGACTACTGAATTATTTTCAAAGGTTCAACATCATGTTCGAACCTTTACGAGAATGGTTCTTTAGTCATATTTTATATTTTATTCTATTATTTCTTTGCTCGTCATTAATTTGTAGTTGTAATTGGAGATGATGGGCCATTCCATCTCCTTGGGACACCAAATTCGTGTCTATATCGTCAAAAAGATGCATCAATTTTTAATTAATTAGAGTCAACAACATTAAAAATTTCCTTACTATTAAATTTTGAAGCATAATTAACGTTCGTTAAATATTAAAGTAATTTCTCTTCTCTTATTTCGTCTTTAAGATTTTTTTTTTACTGTGATCGTATTTTATTAAATTTGTTATTGTTCTTTTTTATATAATGCAGTTTAAAAGTATTTCATAATAATTAATAGATATTATTTTTCATTTAGTAATTTAACATTTGTACTTTTTCTTTTTTTTTTATATATATTTGATGTAAATGTAAAATCACGCGTTTAAATTAAATTTTCTTGCAACGGTAAATAGAGATTTGGTAAAAAATAAATAAAGAATTCAATTGAAAAGTGCATCTGTGAATTGGACGATTTATATGTTAGGCTATTGTATCTCACTTGATTGTATGATTAATATTGTTTTCTTTTTGTTACAGGTGATCATCGTTGGATTTAACAACAAACCTTTGAAATTTTCTTATATTTGAATTTAAATACTTTTTAAAATATATATATATATAATGGCATTTCTGAAGGCACACACATATTTATATATTAAAAATTAAATTTAATTATTTAATATTATGTTTAATTAAAAACAATTATATATTTCAAACTTATACAACTTCAATATAGATCTATTAACATAGATCTATCTGTAATTATTTTTTTAATGCTAGTAATGTTGAATGACATAGAATAAAATTGTTTATACATATTTGTAATTTTTTATTTTGTTTATATCTAAAAAAATAAATTCTTACCGACTGCTCTGATCATAGTAGATTCTTGCATTATGATGGGTTGATGATAGTTGATGATAGTTGATGTTTTCAACTGTTGGTAACAGAGATTTCCCCTTTTTTAAGGCACGTAAAATATTTCGAATTTTTATCTTCGATAATAGCACATGTATGTTTTTTTTTTTTTTTTAATATCGTTAATAATAAACTATTCGAAAACGATTTGAAACAATCATACCAAAACAAATGTGTAAAGTATTAATTTTTTTTTTTTTTTAATAAAAATTTTGCAAAATTGTAATAAATTTAACATTAATCAAGTAAAGTAATGATCGTTAATCTAATATTTGACAGTTTAAAAATTATTCATAAAAATACAAAAGAGAATTAATGATAAAAGTTCATACAAAGAAAAATTAATAAATATAAAAGTCAATGAAACGTGTTGGGATGGGTAAAGGTTGTTAAAAGAATAAATGCTATTTTTTTGTTTTTTTTTTTTTATCAAAAAATGTATAACGATTTATTGAAGAGATATTTAAGCATATTTAAATTTCATGAAATGCAATTATCTACCTATCTAAGTACTCGCTAAATGTTACATGTTAAACACGCACTTTTATTCTTAGGCTCTTTTGTATCTACGTTTTTTTTCTTTTTTTACAAATTCAAAAAAACCTATCTCTTTTTCTTGAAACGTTTTATTTCTTAAATGAAACTTTGATCATTAAAATCGGTCTGAAAAATCGCGCTCGAATTAATTATTGGCGTAAATGTTATTTTAAACAGTTTTATAACGGGATAAGAGAAAACAACCTAAATTAATTTTCTCGAAAAGATTATATATGCATAGAAAAATTATCTGTGATAAAAAATAATTTATTATGTATTCGAAATAAATATATATAAGGATATATATATATATTAGTATTTATAAATAGAAAAGTCGTGGGTAAAGATTATGTTGTCTTTCAGAGGAACTTTTCAATTTTTATTATATATAATAATAATAATAATAATAATAATAATAATAATATTAATAATAATAACTAATAATTAATAATAATAATATAACTAATAATAATAATAATAATAATAATAATAATAATAATAATAATAATAATGTATTTTTAAAAAGAAAATTAATTTATTATAATAATCATAAAGGGTTTTTTTAAAAATTACTTTTTTTTTTTTTTATCGAACTCTATGTTCTAATACGTCAATTGTTTCTCCACGTTTTTAATTTATACGTACATTATGAAGATTGAAAAAGTTGAATGTATGTATAATATATTATTATATCGAATTCTCTCATCGCTCTTACTTGTTCGCATCAAGTAGTATATTTTTTATTTTATTGTATTTTATTTTATTTTATTTTGTCTATATATATATATATACGTAAAAAACTTTACTAATGTTAAAAGATTTTTTTTTCTGCATACTAAAAAAGTATTATTATACGTTTAGAACGCAAAATTTAATGTAATATTATAATGTTCATTTAAGAAAGAGAAAATTTGTTTTTTTTATACAAGTAGAATATAGAAAGAGCCTGAACGTATATATGCGTGTATATATACTGGCATTTTTACAAAAGAAATCTTGATATTGGGAAACAATGTATGTTACCATTTTATTATAAACATTTTTGCTACAGTTGGCTAGATACCGATCACCAGAAAACACTTAGCAAAGCTTTATTGTATGTACCTATCTACAGACTGACATGTTCCTCGTATGTGTATATGTATATATATATGTGTATAATGTATGTGTGTGTGTGTTGTGTAATATGTATTGTATATATGTACGCATGTGTAATATATAATTTTCTTGCCGGTGCCACAAAGTTACACAGGCATTGTGTACATGTGCGCATGCGTGCAAGGTGTAATTTAAACACAGCTGCATGGACAACACAGGTTGTTGTTGTTTTTTTTTTTTGTTTTTTTTTGTTTGTTTTTTTTCGGGGAGCAGATGATATATTTTTTGTTTGTGTTACACGGCACTTACATACAAAAAATCACAATACTCTTTTCCGCTACCACGAGACCATTTAAAAAGAATTTTAAAGTGTCATCCATTCAGCTATATACAATCGTGTTATCTTAATAATTTGTCACGTTTAAATCATATCGTTTTATTTTTTATTTTTTGTTTTTTATTATTATTATTGTTGTTGTTGTTGTTGTTCTTAAACTTAGATTCATTTCATGAAAGCGTTAATAATTAATTTATACATTTATTCTCGTTAAAGCAAGCGACCGGAGGGTCGCGATGTATGTATAGATTACATTATATAATCATTTTCCTAATAATATAGGGATATACCATTTAACGCTATTAAAGAGCCTTACATGTTTAACATTAATAATAATTATACTATCATAAAGGTATATTTCTATATGTTGTCAGTTTGTTATAGCGATCGCATAGATTATACTTTTTGTTTTATTACGAATTAATCGTGTGTGATCGCAATAACGTGAGAATATTGTACTCAATATATATATATATATACTAATCGTTAATGTCGGAATTAACAAAGAAAGAATGAAAGAAGGAGAAAAAGAACATAAAAGAAAGAGAAGAAAAAAAAACATAAAAGAAAAGAAAAGACCCTTGATCATATCCTGAGATCTAATTCTCTAATAATGAAGTGTTTTGTGATAGATGCATTTTTTATATTACGTCCACCATTTTGTTTTACTTAACACGGTTGTTGTTTTTTTTTTTTTTTTCAATGTGTAATGTGTGTAGTATGTTCTCTGCGTGTATATTTTATTTATAACACATTTCATATTTTATTTAATTTAATTTATATATATATTACACTGTCCTTTGTATTATTGGTTCGTAGGATAATTTTGATAAATGGAACTTGTGTATGATTATAAGTGTAAAGAGAGTAAGTCCCGATGCCCTTTTTTTCTGTATATATTCATCGTATTTAAAGTTTTCATCCAAAGAGAGAGAGAGAGAGAGAGTGAGAGAGAGAGAGAGTGATGTTTCAATACAGAACTGCCGGCGTCGATACTTAGTTGCTATCAGTCATTTATGTATATCAATTTGTAACACCGCTTACCAAAACACACAGCAGCCAATGCAATGGTATATAATATTATGTATTTTGAAATACCTTGAAATTACTCGTACTCATTTAAAAGTGCGAGCGTTAGAAATGTGAAAAAATCATTGCATTTGTTGTATTTATGTAAATAAATTATTTAGTGTCATTGCCTATATTTCATAAACATACTTCTTCTTCTTCTTCTTCTTCTTTATTTAATCTTAGGCAAATATAAAAAGTTTGATACTTGAATTTCCGAGTTTTTGTATTAATAATAATTCTTGGTATGAGAGGCGGCTTTTTTTTTCTTTGTTTGTTTGTTCTCCCATTTAATTAATTTAGTACCTTTGTTATTATATTATTTACACCAAGTCTCTAGTAAATTCGCCTCTACACTTAGAATAAATTTCTAGAATTTGACTTCATCGATCGTGAATTATTTTGTGAATAAATGATATTAAATAGTACCATATTTAATAATAAGTAGCCAATTATAATACTTAAATTTAATATTATAATAACCATTTGTAGAAATGACAGATCTTGTTATTAATAATTAATGAGGTGTCTCTAGGTATATCCCAATATTTTTTTTTTTTTTTTTCTTTTGAGAATGGAGAGCTTGTGTATTATTCACATGAAACATGAGTTTTTGTCGCTCGGTGATATTCTTAAATTATGTTAATATATATATATATATATATAGCTCTCTTTTCCTTCTATCTTCGTAGTACTGCATCGAATATTATTTATATTTTATGATAAAAAATAAAAATGTTGTTAATAATAGCAATTATTATGAATTAATCTGCTAATATCTAAAGTGCTGTGTAGTTGTTTCAAACTTATATAGTATAAGATAAAAAAGTAAAACATCATAAAAATGTTTGAAAAGTAAAGTTTGACTGTGCACCTTGGCACAGCGTTAAAATATATAGTTCAATTTATTATTTGTTTACTGTAATTGATTATAGTGATGATAATTTCTTATTAATAGATCGCTACATACTTATTTTTTTTTTCTTCTTCTTCTTCTCACGAGTTATTAGATTCGATAAATTATTTACAGAGATACCCCACTTATAACATTTTAAATATGAAACATAATTTAAGTTAATAGTATTGTGAAAAAATTCTCTGGACATTGAAAGTGTACCGCATGTGTGTTCCCAAAATCCTTTAATATTTCGTCGAAAGGTTTTATAATGACCTTTTTTTTATTTTTTATTTTAAACAATACCTTTTTCAGAAGGAAGAAGGCATATTTTTCATATTCTTTTTATTAGGCACATTAAAAATATATTACTGTTTTTCATTCTAGAATATTAGTAGAGTTATACTAACAACATATTAAAGAAGAAAATAATATTTGACATCTACAAAGCGTATTATAATATAAAAAGTTTATAAATATATTCATATATATATATAATATAACTGCAGCCACACCTGCAATATCTAGAGAAGAGCAATGCCATATTAATAATACTGTCAGAACTGAAATATGATGTACTTAAATTGAAAACTGCCAGAGAGAGAGAGAGAGAGAAAGAAAGAGGGAGGGAGGGAGGAAAGAGAGAGAGAGAGACAGACAGACAGACAGACAGAAAGAGAGAGATAGATAGAGAGAGAGAGAGAGAGAGATCACGATTAGGGTGTGGGTCAAACTGTAAGCAAAATGCTGATACTTTCACTCATTGTCAATTATGCAGATCCATTTGAGATAAACTAAAAGAAAGAAAGTTCAAAAACTAATCATTTAGAGATTTTAGTGTGTAATGCCCAGCTTTACACATAAGTTGGTTGGCTAATTGTTCAGCCTTTCTTGAAGTATTTTATATATGATGAGCCAACCTAGTTCCATTTGGCACTCAAGAGTATTTCAAAATGTATTAGCCATCACAAATCACAGTTCCAGGCTTTCTTTCCAAGAATCGCAACAGGCATACCTCCAACAACACAGAGGAAATATATTGATGATCTACTGCGTAAAGATGTCTTCCGGTCTTTTTCTCTGGGATGTAGAAATCGTCAAACAAATATTTCTTGGCTATCTGTTTCTGAATCGGAATCCCAGAAGAAACAAAAATAAAATTCCTCGCAGGCTGCCATCTGATGGTACTCTTCATGAGGGCGTTATGGGTTGGCGCGGTTTGCTAAGGCGCCCGTGGCCGATAATCATAGTTTAAGCTCGTCTGCAACTTTGCTGGCAATATTTTTAAAACCAATAGAAGTGCCCGATATACGTTTAAATCTTACACCATTTAAGGAAAGTCGAGGCAGTTTGCAGACTTCTATTTCCCATTGTACTTGACTGTCCGTTGCCGCATCTCCATGAGCACATAATAATAGAAATCTTTCACGTTGTTCGTATTGACATTTATTAGCATCCAATACCTAAAATTATTATTAGTATTAGTATTAATCTTTATTTATATATATATTTTATTTTAATTAATTTATTAACATACTTTTCGAATTTCCGACATTATTTCATTTGGATCTCGACTACTGGTTGTTTTCATGCTCCAAGTAAAACGTAGACTGCGTGGTTTAACTTGTTCATCATTATTGGTTGTTGCACCGCTGTAACAAATGAATGTCTTAACTCTAATAAAAAAAAATTATTCAAATATTATGCATTTTTTAATAATAAAATTTTAAATATGTAATCATTATTATAAATTATTAATATAAATCTTAGACGATACCACTGAGATCTTACCATAATAAACTTTAATGATTTAGTATTTTTCTTTATTTTAAATTTTAAAAACGCAAATGGTTTTCTTTCTTTTTTTTTTTCTTTCTTTCTTTCTTTCTTATTTTTTGTGTTTTTGTTTAGAGTACGTTCAATAATTGAAAAAAAAAAAGCAAAATAATATCGATTAATAGAACTTATTAACATTGAAAATGCTACAAATTGAATATAATAATATATGTAGCAAACTATTATTGAATAATTACTGATAGATAATGTATATAAAATTAGAAAATTTGTAAGTATATATTGTAGAGTAATAACACACGTGCAAGTAACAACATGCAAGCTCTCTTGCAATTGTAATTAAAAATTTAACAATTTATCTCAATAGAGTATATGTATTTACATATGAATTTTTCAATATTTGTAAACAGTTTTTCCACAAAATATTTCTAATATTTCCCTTCATAAAAGTAATGCAAGAATGATATAATTAATAATTACTTGTGTGTGATAATTTTTTATACATTTTTCAAATGTTCAATTCAATCTAACAAATGATCGATTGTAATGTTATTTCTTTAATATAACAGTAAATAAATAAATGATAAAAGATAATTGATGAAGTTAAATTTAATTGTAAATAGATTTTTATGTTTAAATATTTCACCGAATTATTATTATTATTATTATTATTATTATTTTTTCTTTTAATGGAAGTATTAATGAAAAAAACAATTGTCTTTTATCACAATTTTTTTTTTTTTTTGTACTAAACTATGTGATACTCTAGAAATATCAAAGAGACAGTCACATTTTTTGTTTAAATGTATGAAAATGAAATAATGATTGCATTTGATAATAACTGTTGTCCAAAATCGCCTATTAACTATTTTCTATTTAAATAATTGCATATACGTATTATTTATTAAAGATTAACTTTTAGAAAAAAATTGCGTCCAGTTTCAAATGCAATGTTGAATATGATGATAATAATACGGCTACTGTAAATATACATAATTTGCCAAAAAGAATGATAAAAAAGTAAGCCACTTTTGTTGTATAACAATAAATACACGACAATATACAATTGACAATAAATGAATTACAATTTTAACAAATACATATTTGAATATTATAATATATGACTTTTTGTCTATTCAAATTACGAATGTATTTTTTTTCTAAAGGAATATTTTCAGAATACACCATTTGAAAATAATTATATTTAAACGTTGTAACACAATATTATATGAAATTACTTTGAGCAATTATTTACAATATTTAGTTGAAGCAAACAAAGTTGATTGAAATAAATTTGTTAGTTGCGAGCATATATTATTATATATTTTTATGGGCCTAATTATATATAAAAATTTGTGATAATGAACGTACTGTTGTTATATCATGTATCTTTCTCACTCGATCAGATTTTAATTATTGTTATAAAAGTTATCAATTTTTAATTAACAATGACTAATTGTAAAACAATTTAAATGATTATTAGTATGTATATCTTTTTGGCTATGTATTAAAATGCAAAAAGTAGTTTCATGATATATACTATATAACTTATATATCTTATATATAAATGTATTATATATATATGTATATATATATATATATTGCTGCTTAAAATATGAAAGAAACTTTGATTAAATTAGCTCGTATGATCGAAGCATTATTTAAAATAATATATAAAAACTCATAAAATAAAAGATTGGACGCAAGTTTAGGATAACAAATGCAAAATCAGGATATGGATAGTGGTATTATGGTATGCAGCAACGTACCTCACTACTGGGTGCTTGGGGGGTACGGATGGGTCCATGGGGCTGAAATAACAAAACAAAGGCAGTTGCTAACAGACACTGAACATGATAAATCAATTAAATTTTCATACGTATAAACAACCCACCACCATTCTATTAACATTTTTCGAAATTATTATAAGAATTATGATGTTGTTGATGCAATAATTGTATTTAAAAAATGAAAGAAATGTATACTCTTTTACATAAGAGTGCAAACTTTCTTATTTTATAATATAAATCATTTTGTTGCGATAAATTTTCCTAAACACATCATACTTCTCATGTATGTGAAAGTTAATGTTTTTGACTGTTATATATGTCAAAATTTTTGTTACTTTTTTTTTTTTTTTTTAAATAAATTTATAAATGTTGAGTTACAATAATCACTATGCAAAAAAAAAAAAGAAAACATTTACATAATATAGCTAGCCATTACCCCTTAAATGAAGCAGATTTACACACAGCACTGCTAGCAGAATATACATATATATATATATATATACATATAAATAATATATATGTACATATACATATATATATACACATAAATATATGCAGAACAAACACAAAAATAATGTCTTGTGTAAACTAAATATTCCTTTTGAGAGGATTTAGAAATAAATTGATACAACATTTACAAGACAGTTTAAACATATTTATTATTACGAAATTATTACTATCATTGCTTCTTATATATATTTATATATATATATATTGTGATATATATATATATAAAATTATTAAATAATTTTTCTATCCTGCGTTTTACAAGCTATTTACTGCCCTCCATTTTACAAGATCTAAGCTAATAATTTTTAATTTTTAATTTTCTTTATTTTTTTTTGTTTTTGTTTAAATAATAATAAAATGATTATAATTAACCAAAAATGATAAGGATATCTCTTCTAGACGTTTGGACGGGTGCACTGTTGGAGTACAGCAAACAGCATGGTCCTTTACACAGGTCTCTATTATCTTTCATATAAATGCTTTCACACACTGCATACGTTTTTCTATATGTATTTATATACCTATACATATATATATATTTATATTTGTTTATATAAATATATATATATTGGAGGATCTAACGATTTAATATCTCTTTCATCACTCACTGTCATACATATTAATAATAATCTACCGGGTGGCCTTAGGAATAATATTTTTAAATTCTTTCCTTTTTCTTTTCTTTTTTTTTTTTCATTCTTTTACATAATACTATTTCTATACAATAATTTATATGTTTATATATATATAAGTAAACATAATGAAAATTAATTAGTTAATATTTAATCATTAACAGTTATGTGAAATGCTTCATGGAAATGTAAGATAATAAAAAATGTATCAGAGAGTATAGAAAAGTACTCTTTTCATTATACAATGTTGAGTGAAAGAAAATGCAATATGAATTAAAAAAAAAAAAAAAAAAAGAGAAAAAAAATTCAATGATAAACAAATGCGCGATTATTCTAAATATATATATATATATATTTTTTATTATTTGGCTAGCTGTAAAAGTATATAAGATTTTGTATTCATTCGTATAGCATTATAAATTATGTTAAAATAATTATCAGGCATTTGAAATATTCAAATAGAAAAAAAAAAAAAGAAAAAGAAAAAGAAAAAGAAAATGTTAAAGTGGTATTTTAAAATAATTTCGATCTGTTTTAGATTTAAAATGAAATCTAGGTTAATAGTCCAAGGCCACTCTGTAGAATTTTATATAAATAACTTTGTAATAATAATAATTATAATAATAATATATTAATAATATTAATAATAATAATAATAACAATAATAAAATAATAATATTAATAATAATAATAATAATAAAATAATAGTAATAGTAATAATAATAATAATAAAATAATAATAATAATAATGCTATTTTAATTAAAGAATTATCATAATATTCTATAATCAAGTTATTAATCATTCAGTTTCTCTTTCAAAAATTGAAATGATTTAACAATACCAAATTTTGTCCAGTCAAATGTGCGAAATATACAATATCAAATGGAAAAAGGCACACACGACACGTCTTTTTGACAATCTTAAAGATTTGTGGTTTTTCTTTTAATTTTTTTCTTTTTTTTTTTTTCTGTGATTATAATTATTAAGGAAAAAAAAAAAGAAAAAAAAAAATGAAATGTACATAATATATTAGAAAAGATTTGTCGAAATTTTGTATATACTTAATTATTTATATCTTTTTGTTTTTGTTTTATCTTTTTTCTTTTTTTTCTTTCTTTCTTTCTTTCTTTCAAGAATAATTTACAAAATTTTCTTTGCAAAAATGAAAATATATTGAATGCCAAAAAATTTGTTGAATTTCTTTTTCTTCTTTTTTTATTTACTTATGAGTACATCATTCTCCGTTTATGTATTGTATATTTCTTTAGTTAATGAGATAATATTGATTGTATGATCTCGAGATAATATTAATAATTATTAAAATAAATGAATAATGTATTACTTATGGCCTTTTCTTTTCTTTTTTTTTTTTTGTTTTGTTAAATTAATATTCTACAAACATAAAATGCAATATTCCAAATGATATATGTATATATATGTATATATATATAAGGTTCGAATCAATGTTTCATTAATACAATAAATTAAATAAGATATGTGAGAATAAATGTTGAATCAATGGTAATGCAATCAAATAGTATTATTCTTTTAATTTAAATAATTTCATTTCTGAGATCATATATATATATAAATATGTATATATATATATTTTTTTTTAGTATTACATTATCAGCAGATTGTGTAAATGGCTGTACACATTAAAAAAAAATAATATTTACTTGATTTATATATATATATAAATATCTGTCTTGTGTAATAATTTAATTATTTGATTACACTACCACAGAGAGGAGTAAATTTTTAATTCAAATATATAAACTATTATTATTATTGAATTACAAGTGTAATTGATTTTATACACTTATAATAGAATAGGAAAATAAAGTGGAATTCTTCACATACATTTTACAGTAAATTCTTCTTCTTCTTCTTCTTCTTCTCTCATACTTTTGTCAAAATTAAGAAAAAAAAAAGAAAAAAAAATCAATTATAATCCTATTCTCTTCTTGCACACTAAGATATACCAGGAAAAAAGAAAAGTATAATAAATGCTTTAACTATAAATACAAACTATGAAATATATGTAGAGTAATCAATTCTAATGAATCAATATTATACAAAAATACCCCCGAAGAGAAAATAAAATCCGATATATATATATATATCGATCCTTTTTATAATATAATTTAGAAAAAGAATATTTTGATCAAATGATTATGATATTAATTAATTCAAAATTTGCTCTTACTGATTTTTTTAAATAAATTATTTTTAAAATAAAAATAGAAATATTCTAATTACATTTTGTATCATTAATTGTAATATGTCAAATGCATGTACATATACATAAAATATTATAGAGTATATCAGAGTATATATATATATATAAATTTATTATTTCAAGTGTATTTTTAAAACACAAAATTAGAAAAAAAAAAAAAAGAAATAATATCAGAACCACGTTTAATTTTCAAGTTATCAAAAGAATCGATATAAGAATTAAATATATATATATATAATATATAATATATAATATATATTATGAAAGACTGACTGAAATTAATATTGCATTATAAGATCGATATAAAGTCAAACACAAATTCTACGCCATTTTTAAAAGAAACAATTTATGTTGGATATCAACAAAAATATAACTGACTCATTTCATTAAATTAGTTCTATAATACTTTACACAATTGTTATAAAAAAAAAATTTATTATAATATAATATAATATAATATTAGCAATATATATGTATTTTGCCTTTTAAGATCATCTTTGAAGATGCAAACCATAATAATAGTAATAATAATAATAATAATAATAATAATAATAATAATAATAATAATAATAATAATAATAATATAGGGAGTACTATTTTCAAAGATAATAATCACATTCTCTAATATTAAATATATTATTGTTATCCAACACATTTTCCCCCGAAAGAAAACAAAAATATGCTACGTTATTATAAAGAGTGTACAATTATTATTCTAGATTTCAATTGTAAATCTATAAAAGCTTGTTGTTTCAGAAGAAGAAAAAGAAAAGAAAAGAAAAGAAAAAAATAAAACAAAAATAAAAATAAACAGAAAAAAAAAATATATATATATATATATATATTTGAAGAATTGAAAGAATACACAATAATTATTGGAAGTCGCACTTGGCCATTCAACTAGAATTACTTTGCTAATTAATGGCTGTATTGCTGTAGAGTGATAATCGGCACGTAGCTCGCTCTCATTTCTGCTCGAGGGAAACAAGGCGAGACTTCACTCTTCATTTAGGAATCCTGTCAATGTATGAATAATTATATGTATTCTTCTATCTTTACGATTGTCTCCTTAATATGATGTGTTAGTAGTAGTAGTAGTAGTAGTAGTAGGAGTAGTAGTAGTAGTAGTAGTAGTATCAATACACCATTCTCCAAACTTGAATTTTTCGCTGTTTATTTGATGGACAGTTTTTTTGTTTTGTTTTGTTTATTTCTTTTTTTACGGATATAGTTATGGCCAAAAAAAAAAAGAAAAAACAAAAAAAAAAGAACAATTTACCAACAAGCCAATATATATTCTAAAGTTTCTCTTCTTGAAAATATTTCGAAGTATTTTTTATACGTGTCGCGTGTCTGTTTATTTTTGTACGCCAAATATATGGAAGATTTTTTTCTTTTTTTTTTTTAATGCATATTTTTATTCTTCTTCTTCTTCTTCTTTTGTTTTTTTTATTATTATTATTATTTTGTGTGTGTGTGTGTGTGTGTGGGTGGAAAATATTTCTTTTTGTTAAACAAAAAGTTAACAGTTAATCATACATTTTCACACAATTATGAACCAAATAAAAGTAAACATCATATATATATACATATATATGATATTTCTTTTTAAATGAAGACTTTTTGTTTTTTTTTTTACTATTCTAATTACAGGCACTATTTGCTTTTTTTCTTCTTTTTTTTAAATTAAATATTTGATTAAACAGATTATTATATACCTTTGACGTTTCTCAAAGGCTTATTAATACTCCACGTCGAAACTCATCTAAATCATTATGTTATATTTTAAATAGAGTCATGAATCGTAATCTTTTCTTTAAGAAAAAAAAAAAAAGAAAAAAAACAGAAGTAAAGGTACACCCCACATAATGTTTATTATGAAAAATGTATAAAAATATAAGGAAGTTTACAGAGTTTCTACTATCTTTTTCATTTTTTTTTTCTTTTCTTTTCTTTTTTTTTAGATGATCGACGTAAAGTGCACATAGCAGAATTGGCAGGCTGAATTAGAAAAGGCACAGATTTTAGTGCTATATATACCTAAGAGTGCATAAGGCGACTTCCTGTACGATGATGATTCTCAGGAAGACTACTTTTTAATACTTTCAATTGTATTTATATATGTATGTATGTATGTACGTATGTTTGTATGTAAGTATGTCTAAACTAGTCGCACTTTTATGTTGTTGTAGTACTAATTACGAGCGCACCTGCGCATTTCTTTTTTTTTTTGACATATATTTTAATTACCAACATGTAAAAGAGTCACTAAAAGAGAAGCTCTGTCCGTGCTTTATTTTCTTTTCTTTTTCTTTCCTTTTTTCTTTTTTTTTTTTTTTCTTTTATTTGATGAACCACAGAATAACAGAACTGAATTTCACTGATCATCAATCCCACTGATTCAATGCACACTTTCGTTATACAAGCACTCCAAGAGTCCGATGATTTGGATTTAATATATGTGTTGAACATGCTTAATTTTATTGTTTTAAGACAAATCAGCATACACATGATTGTTAGGACTTGTATCTGTATGGCCTGTTTTGCTTGTTGAGAGAAACTTCTGACGAAGCCAAGTTTATTTTGTTCACGTCCTGCATCATAGAATATATACTAGTATATAGAAGTTAATTAGAGAAACAATCATTTTATTGTTGATGCATCAATGGCTATGCTTCTACAAATCCTTATGTATGTGTATAAATATATATATAGTTTTTTTTTTTGTTTTTATTCTAAAATATTATTCTGTACATATATAACAAAAGATGAGTACAGTGACCATTTCATGAAAGTTACATACACAGTGGTGTCTGAGTTATTTATTTATTCTCGTTATTCTGTGGCATCACATCCTCAGTTTTATCAATAGTTTTTTTGTTTTGTTTTTTTTTTGTTTTTTTGTTTTTTCAATGTGTCAATTTTTTCTTTTTATTTATTATCTTAATTCTTATTTTTTTTTCTTTTCGAATGTGCAATAATAATTACGTCCCATATAAATAATAAAAGTAAAGGATATGCCTTGCTACAGTCAAGTACAAAAGGGATGCACAATGAGTATGCAAGCTGGCCTTTTAATTTTTAGCCAAACAGTACTGTTCTTTTTTTTATTTTTATTTTTTTATTTTAATTTTATTTTATTTTATTTTATTTTATTTTTCTTTTTTTTTCTTCTTTTTTATTTTTTTATTTTTCTTTTTTGTCAATGAGCTTTAAGGATCTACACAATGTACAAATAATAACATGAAAAAAAATTCAGTGATATAACGTTAACTAATTATAAACGATTTATATATATATATATATATATATATATATTTAACAAAATTTAGAAAAAAAAAATGTACAAGAGGATGAGAGTTAATATATTTGCAGTTATTTTTTTATCTAAGTAAATTCTAAAGATAGATAGATAGATAAATAGATAAATAGAGAAAGAGATAGATAGTGAAAGATAAAGAGAAATAAAAGTTAAAAAGTATTTTTTACTCAGACTTTAAAACTAACTAACTAAGTAAACAAAAAAAAGAAAAAAAAAAATTAAAAAAGGTGCTAAAACTTGAATAAAGCATATATTTATGGGACAAATAAGCAATACAGACAGATGAAAGTGTGGAGACGCTTGAGGATGAAAATGGTAACGTACAATATAATAATAATAATAATAATAATAATAATAATATATGCATATACAAGTCAATAAAACTAGTAAAAAACGGAATATACATGAAGAACTACATGTTTTATGGCTTTCATTGATAATGGTCGCTGCTGGCTCATCAAATTATATTAAAGGTAATAAATAGTACTGTGTAGTTCTTATTTTAAATATTTATCATAACAGTATAGAAATTTTCAGAAATACATAGTCATTGTGCATCCTTAAAAACAAAAACATCATCTATAGCATGCAAATGATAATTTTAATTCATATATATTATATATATATGAAACTATAAGGCATTTAAACAAAAAAAAAAAAGTGTATATTTATCTATATATATATATATATACACATATATATGTAATATATCTATATATATATATATATGTATATATGTATATACACAAAAGGTAAAACTTACCGTTTGGAG